CTGCTAACCCGGCAATCTCCTCCGTGAGAGCCGCCATACGCTGGTGGAGCTCGTGCAGAGCGCTTTGCAGGTCCCCTTCGCATAGCTCCGTGGCGCTCTGGAGGCCAGCAATAAGCCGCGTAATGGCGCTCGCCAACCCTTCTTCCCCTTCATCCTTTTCAAAGATGTCATCGCGACTGCCGATGTGATGGAGCTGTTCGCAGGTCAGATCAAACTGGTTACTTAGTTTTGTGAGGGTGCCCCCAAGTAAGGCTTTCGCACTAATTTGAGCAAGGACCATTTTCTGATGACCCAATATATATGTGAATAAGGTATTAATGAAATAAAAAGCACAACAGTACCAATATTATGTATGCAGAAATGATACTTTAGAAGAGCAACAAATAATGACCCAAATTGCTAAGCAAAACAACAGCCCAAGTTGTGTGATTTATAGACACAGCGGTATAGTGCTTGGGTTGAGGAGTGTTTTCCGCCTTTGTTCGCCCACTCCTTTCAAAATATGATAGCGTTTTCTATTTTCCCTTTATGTACGCATACGTGTCTATTATTGAATTCCCGTTCAAACTAAATAAAAGGGGTGAAGTGAGTACGAGCGTAATTTAATGAAAGTAAAATGCATTGGAAAGCCACAATAATTATAAAGTCTTGAGTAAAAGCATTTCCAGAGGGTCAAACAGGCCCCAAACGACGCAAAATAAAATTAAAAAGATGATGAAGGAGAGAATGACAAAAAAAAAGTATACTTTACGGGCTCCCTCATTTTTTTCCTATTAAACAATAATCGATTAAAATTGCCATCCTGAAATAAAATAAAGTGAAAAACATACAAGAATAAACATGACAACAGTTTTTCTTCTTAGGATTTATTGGCTTCGTTTTATTTCGAATAGCAATCAGAAATTTTAAATGTAGAACTACAATGAAAAAAATACCACAGTAACAGCTGTATTAAATACGAATAAAAAAACTATGAATGTCATCAAATTAAAAGAATGAACAAATGCATTTAACATTTTCAGCACTAAAGAAACTTCTTCATTGACTTAGACGAAATGCTGAGAAAGATGAAACACAGGTTCAAAATCAATTCCCTGTAACTCATTGAAGTAATTGTGTGGAGTATTCCTCAGAACAGCACTGGATGCTCCTTTCTTAACCCCCTCCCCCCTTGTCAGCAAATCCCCAATAAAGGTAGACTGAAAATGCAATCCAAGTAATCCATTTAAAGAAGGAGAGATAATGTTTATATATAACATATTTGCTCATGCTATAAGTTTTTTCGTGAAGTTTCTCACCTACCTACTAATAAATTAACTAAAATTGGATTTAAGTCTACGTGCCCATACTTTATGTCTTGGAATTTGTAGACTCAGTTATGAATAAAGAAAGAAAATCACTCTTACTTTTTTTTCTAAGAAAATGGCATACGAAAAAATGAACATATCGTCGTAAACCAGTGTTCAGACACCCAAATCTTTCAAAGAATAAATAAATAACGAATATGTACCGCGCAACTGTAGATGGAATTACCTTCATTTTACAGTTGCTTCATCATATCAAAATATAGAAAAATATCATTACATTCGAAATGAGAAGTTGAGGTATTTATATACAAGTAGACTAATAAACATCTACAATATGTCTTAAAATGGAAACAGATAGCAGAAACATCGTCATCCCGTGTTGCTTACGCGCACACAAACACACACACACAAAAGAGAAACCCCTGTCATATCCTCATATCTCAATAATGAGCTCAAAGGTTAAAAAGGAGTTATTATCAAAAAAAATACAAGGTATAGCTGCAAAAGAAAATAACGAAATTTTCACTATTAAACATAATAAGTAGAGACGTGTTTGAAACTAATCCCAATACAACAAGAATAATAAAAAACAAACTTATACTCAAAGCAACACATAGGTGGGGAGAAGGGTTATTAATAAATTAAATGTATGTGCGCACTCAGAAATCGGGAAAACAACGAAGTTGGTCTGTGGTAGGATTATAAGAGAACGATATCAGGAAACTAAGCCCGGCATAAATATAGAAGCTATAATCTACTTTAATAAATTTTCACATTTATTTATCGTTGAATCACTTCAAATTTGATTGATTTTTTTTTAGTTTCATAGATGCTAATTTCGCCAATTATTCTTTAGCTAGCCCAAAGACTTACCGTGACCTCTGTTTCATTTATTATTATTATGATGATGATGATGATGATTATTAATATTCTTTTGCTGGAGGGCTAAAGTTGCAACAGTTCTTTTTTTTTCTAAAACATCATGTGCGTCCGATTTGTCCTCTTGTCGTTAATATACATGCTGACCATGTTTATCATCGCTTCAACACTTTACATGGACCTTCTTGCTATAATACGCTCAGGCTGGTGGCGTAAGGTCTTCGTGGTTATTGCGATCAAGTCAGGTTCGATTGGGTTCTTTTCACATAATAACACAACATGTTCATGACCTCCGAAAATTCGGAGGCCCCTAAGCCGCTCCTGAGCTAGTGTCGAGGATCGAATAAAGGTGGGAAGGTTGTCAAAATCATCAAAGCCCGAACACTTGGAAACGAACCCGCCGTCAAACTCTATCATGCCGGACATGTGAAACATCCCGTTAAAGGTGAGCGCCAAGGTAAAAGATTTCCCGAGTGTGGCTTCCATAACATTGTCCAACACGTAAGTTGGCGTCAGCACATTCGCGCTGTCCAACCCCAGTTGCCCCACATCGTTCACACCCCACACAAAGAGCCGCGCGTCGTCGTCGATCCCGTAGCTACTATAGCAACCGCAGTTAATTCGCGTAAAAAAGCTGTCGTGTATGATTCGCGTTGGATAAAAGACAGAGTCGAGGTTCCCGAGGCCGAGGCGGCCCCCATCCCCCATCCCCCAGGTGTAGATCTCGCCGATGGCGTTGAGCGCGAGTGCATGCCAGCCTCCCGCGGCCACCTGAACAATGTTTGACAGACAGGGGACCAAAACCGGAGAGAGGATAACCCCGGCACTTTCCTCGCCAACGTCGCGCATAATCACACGCGGAGGAATCGCCTCCTTCGGGGGGTCCAACCCCACCCCACAGCACTCGATCGCGCCCCAACTATAGACCTCCCCGCTCGCGCGCAGAGCCAGGGCGAAGTAGCTCCCGCAGGCGACCTGGATAATCTGCTTATCCCCCAGCCAGGTAATTTCCCGGGGCTGGGCGATGCGCTTCCACTTCTTCGGATCCACCCCGAGCCCGCACTGCCCGTAGCTGTTATTCCCCCACGCGTAGACCCGCTCGCCCTCGATGATGCACAGGGCGAAGCTGAAGCCGGCCGCCACGAAGGTCACGACCGTCCGCGCGAAGTAGGGCACGCGCATCGCGCTCGGGATGACCGGAACGCCGTCGGGGGTCAGCGCGGCCGACTCCGGCGCGGTGAACCCGAGCTGCCCCCATCCATCCACGCCGAACCCGTACAGCCCCCCGCAGCGGTTAATGAGCAGGGTAAAGTCGTTCCCCGCCCCGCAGGCGAGGATGCCGTCCTTGAGGCCGCTGCACAGGACCGCGGCAGGGACCCCGCGGTGGGGCATCCCCAGCACCACCATCGTCGTCGTCTTCGCCAGGGTCATGGCGAAGCCGTGGGCGCGGCCGCTGACCACCCACAGCGTCGTGAAGTTCGTCAGGAGGGGCTGGCCGCGGACGAGGCGGATCCCGTAGCCGCTGCCCAGCCCGAGCCCGACGCCGGAGCCGTAGGCCACGACCTCGCCGGTAGTGAGCAGCAAAAGGGTGTGGAGGCGGCCGCAGGCGGCGTGGACGACCGCGCGGCCGCCCGGGACCCGCAGGGGCTGCGGAAAGACCACCGCGAAGACCCCCACCGCGCCGCACTGGCCGGCCTGGTTGTCCCCGCAGGCGTAGGCCCGGCCGTCGGCGGTGAGGAAGACGGTGTGGAAGCTCCCGCAGGCGACCTCGACGATGTCGACCGCCGAGAGCGCACGCACCGGGGTCGGGTGAAGGACGTCCGCCTCGTCGCCGTGGCCGAGCCGGCCGTTATTCCCCAGCCCCCACGAATACACGACGCCCGCGGCGGTGAAGGCCGCGAAATGCCAAGGCCCGGCCCGCACCCCCCGCACGGATTCCCCGGTGAAGACCCCCAGCCGGTGGGGGTCCGGGACGACGAAGCGGTCTCCCGCGTTGGGCAGCTCGCGGGGTTCCGTGCGGACCTGCACGAGCCCCGCCTCCTCCTCGGGCTCGAGGTCGAGGAGCTTCGACAGGCCCCAGCCGTAGACGGCCCCGGAGACCGTCCGCGCGAGCACGGTGTAGTTCCCACACGCCACCTCCACCACCTTCTCGTTCGGGATCACCCGCGGCTGCGCGAGCCCGCAGCAGGCGTTGTAGAGGTCGCGGTGGCACTGCCCGTAGTTGTTCGCCCCCCACGCGTAAACCACCCCTTTGAGGGAGACCCCGGCGAAGTAAAGGTACCCCGCGGTGACGTCTATGATGAGGTCTTTCGGGTCAAAGGGCCGGACGGTGATCTGCGTCGGGCAGATCGGCAGGTTCATCTCGTTATTCACCACCCGCGGGCATAAACAAGGGTTCCCCACCCCTAGCTCCCCCCACATCCCACTTCCCATCGTCAGAAGGAAATTCTGCACCCCAAGCCAGGCCGACGACATCACCGAGCAGGCGATCCGGATAGGCTTGTCAAGCCCCCCGACCATGAGTGGCGTGAGGGTGTTATAGCGCGCGTTGTTGCCTAATTCCCCATTCACAGAATGGCCCCACCCCACCACCACCCCGTCGTTGTTGATATAGCGCAAAATAATTTCATGAGCCCCGCGGTGCTCGACGTCAGAGTATAGATTTCCTAGCCATTCCATCTTACTATCTGCTAACTGGGATGCCGCCCGCACAACCCCACTATGAAATCAAAAGAAACAGTTTGAACCGTTGATAAAGAAATACACACTAAAAATGACAATGAAAATGGAAACGCAAAAAGGGGACACCTATTCGGGTGGACTACTACACTTCTATAATCGTCACTGTATATTTATATAAATGTGTATGTAAAATATACCTTGGTTAAAACCAAGGACCACCTTTAAAAGAAAAAAAAATGGAAAAGAATTTAGGATGATAAATGGATATAACGGGAAAGAGAGGCATGAAACTTCAGTTACCAAAGAAAGACAAAGAATCACTTTTTTTTTCTTCCATTCTTCCTTGCACGCGTGGTGAGGGAGGCTTATGCATTATAAACAAAAAGCCCACACACCATTTGCTCTTCATTGGGAAATTTTAATAGATTCCACAGAACGTAGGATTGGCTGAACACAACAAACAGTGATGGAAACTGTACCCGTCCAAAAGGACGTTATCACAGGTCCTCACAATAGAATTGTAGAGAAAAGGCAATTAAAAATTAAGGTTTCAAGGGTATATTTAGGAACAAATGATTGCAGCCAAAAAGTACCCTATTAACTCCCCCATAAGGTGCGATTTTTAATGAAAATGCCTCTCACACCCAACCCGCCGTGATTCCTTCTATTACTTTTGAGAGCGAACACATCATCCACTCGTGTGTAGCTCGATGAATTACTTATCAGTGTGATAAGCATTTAAATCCCACGCAGGAAACCAAAGGTTGTGAAGAGGGGGGAACTAGAAACGATGAAAACCGTGTCTATCAAAAAGAATAGAAAAATGACCACAATAATAACAAACTCCGAACCCTATTTCGAAAGGTTCGTCTTTATTCTCTGTTTTGCCCATTCAATATAACTCCTATTGGGCTCTGTAGTCAGCCCTATTTTAGGAATCTCAGCCTCCTCGCAACGCTCGACAATGATGCCCAACTCACGGGCGCGACTCGCAGTAAGATTGCCCGATTCCGCGGCCTCCTTCCCACGCACATCCAGTACGACAATAAGGCCATCCTCAAAATTACTGTTCATCTCATCCGCCGCGACGATGCCGCTAAGGTAATTCTCATAAAGAATAAAAGCCGTTCCGAGAAATTCCCCCGTCTTTCGATGCCGAACAAAGCGAACATCGGCGATCTCGCCAAACTGAGAAAATGCGGTGACGATATCGCCTTCTGAAAGGGTATCTGTTCGAGTGGGCGGGGACATATAAAAATTAAGCACCGGTATATCGTGTTCAAAATTGTCATCCATGTGTTCAGAGTCGTGAGGTTTTGTTGGTATGAGGGCTTTGAATTCTTTTACCACATGGGAAGAAACTCTACGAGGAACGAGGTTTTTCACCATAATCCAAGGAGTCTTGCCTAGTAAATTGTGGTAATCCTTTGTGTAGGCACCAGAATTGCCCTTCTGATATCGTCTAAATGAGCCATACATCAAATGAAGCGTCAGGAGAATAGTATTACTACTTTCAAAGATAAGTTCCCAAAAAAAAAAGATTTGAAGATAAGATTATAGAAATGAATAATAATTAGAATATTAATGCGTATTGCACGACCTGCTTCGTGCATCTATCCAGAAAGGTACGCTCTTATCACCCCTCTTTATTTCCAGTCGCTTACACCCTCCTTTTTTTTCCCATTCTGCAGTTTGAAGTAATGTGAAAAAACAGTATTCCTTTCATTCCATTCTTATCCAGAATGCTAGCTGATGGGATATATGATATGGAGTTCTTTTGCCTCTACAAACAAACAATGTTACAAATATACGTATATAGATAGAAATTGGATTACTGGTATATATAAAAATGTACACGAGTTTTTTTATAAGAAATAACAGTTCGAAATAGGTAAAAGATCAGAACCTCAGATGGTTTCTAAAACACATCCGAAATTTTAAAAGAGTCTAAATACGAAAAGACAATGAAATAACCCTAGAAAACGTAAAGTTCATTTTGTTTTTCGAGATCTCTCAACGAGAAACTTGGTACAGGGGTAATCCACTTGCATGGCATCAGATCAGCAAGTTGAGCATCTTCCTTTGCAGAGGCTTTTTGCTTCGCCTCTTCTAGTCTCATTCTCACATCTTCCTCCATTTGTGTTTGCTTTTTAGATTTTACCCTCGGGTAAGTCAGCCGCTCGAGGAGGCCTTGGCTGGGGGATCGTTTACTAGAGAATGAGCCCGTAGACTTTCGTTCGCCTTGTGGCGTGGGATCTTCTTGTTTGAGTATCTCATCTGTCTTTTTTAGTTTTATAATACCACGCCTCGAGGCGTAAGGGGAAGAATAGACATTTCTAGGCGCCTTTTCATCCGCCGATGTCCAATCTCTCGAAGAAGCGTTGGGGTAGTTCGGATGAAAGCTGCTGAGCGCGGAGGAGGTGCTGCCGTGTGAAATCGGGGAGGCGAGCGAAAAGGGGACTCGGCGGGAGGCGATGCTGGGCTTTCCCTCGCCGGACGCGTCGGCGGTGGACTCCGGGAACGGCACCCCCAACCGCGTCAGGTTTCTCACTCCTTTCCTCTCTTTATTCTCACTATTCAGGGCACGCGAAAGCAAGCTGGAGGAATCCCCCGCCGTGGGGAGGTCACTCTTTTTGGAGAAAAGCGCGGCCCGGGCCCCCGACCCCCTTGACGCGAAAGGGACCGTTCGTGGTCGGGTAGAAAGAAAAGGCACTTCCGGGCGATCCCGCTGGACGGAGTCGGGAGGGTCCTTCGCGGCCCCCACGGGCGGCGGGGACGCTTTCTCCTGCCCCGTCATCCACCGCCTCCCCACGTTCCCCACCGAGGGGTAGGGCTGGCGCTCACGCAGCGGAGAAGTCCGGGAAATGGCGCTGTTACCCGAGCGTGCGTTTGACCCGGTGGAGGCCCTCTCGTCGGTGTCATCCGGCGCCGTTCGCTTCCTAACCAGCAAGGAAGCCAAACGGGGGTTTAAAGGCCTTTTTGCCGCGTAAGGTGACTTTTTAGCTTCAAGTACCCCATTTACGGGGAATTGGGAGCTGGAATCGGGAGCCGAAGCGCGGCGTCGCCAGGCCGGTCGGTCATCCTTCGGGCGGGCATTCCCTTCGATCGATCGAGGTCCCTCGGAGTTCTTACTGGATTGGGATGGGGTTAATAATTTGTGATGCCTGTTCGCCAAAGCCCACTGCAGCGAGCTATTTGTCTGTGGTGGCAAAGAGGAACGGATACCTTTAGGTTTTGGGAGCGCATGATGCGGACATCCAAGATTGGATTTTGTAAGGGTTAAGGCAATGCCTTCGTATTTATGACCTTCATGGGCGCTGGCCACCTGATATTCTCGGACGTTACTAAAATAGGCAAACGGATCTGAAGACATCTCAGCCTGCTCAGATGTTTGGTACAACGTATTTGGATATCGATTTACTATTCGTGTGAGAGACGATCTCCTATTCAGTTCGAATTGGAAGGGTTATATATATATATATAATCTTTAAAGTTTTCTGAAGTAAAAAAAACGCAGAAATACTTTCAAAGGGAAAAAGGCCAAAAAGTGATAATAAAAGATAAGCAGTATGATAATCATTATAATAATAGTCTGTTCATCTAGCTCTATTT